ACACCTACACCAAAAAAGACGAAATGTGCTGTTTTCCTCATATTCCAGTACTGTCAACTGCTTAATCCTTTCCGAGCCATACCGGCCTAAACGACCTTCCCGTCATAATGTTGCCATACCAGCCTAAACGACCTTCCCGTCATAATGTAGCCATACCGGCCTAAACGACCTTGTTGCCATACCGGCCTAAACGACCTTCCCGCCATAATGTTGCCATACCGGCCTAGACGACCTTCCCGTCATGTTGCCATACCGCTTTTACCGGCTTTTCCGCTGTAGAGCCATACCGGCTTGACACACCTACATTTAGTACGGGCTTAGAAAACAGAACAGTCCACTCTAAATTTAGATGCTGGTGTCCTTAGTATTTGTATGTGAAATTAGAATGATATATGACGCATAGATCAAAAGTAAAAGCAATTTCTTCGTTACTCCCCCTGAACCTCTAAAACACTAAAATAATTCGGTTCTGTAAAGCCATCAGCTGGTCAAAATTTTGGTTCTGGTGTGCTGACCTGCGGATGTATGTATGGTGCTAACAGGGTTACTGCTCAGCAAATTGGAATTTTAAGATATGGTTGTGTAAGCTACCTATGGACTCATATATAACGTCCTGCAGCGGGAATTCAATCCAGATTCAATAGATTATGGAATAAAGTTTTGGCTGAGAGAAACACGTCGACACGTTCACGAACATTTGGTGCTTTTGTTTGTTGGAGTAAAGAGAATCACATCGACACAATAATGGACATTTAGTTGATTTAGTGCTGGGAAAAAGTCAGACACACAGGCAGAAACAACAGATGGGAAAGTAAAGAAGTAAAACCTATCAGTGGCGCCCTCCAACCACTCACGACATCTGGTGCAATAACTAACATTTAGTGCAGTAAAAAATGAAAATATTCAGAAAGTAACTAAACAAGGAAAGAAAAGAAGTAGGACGTACAACCCGTGCCCTCCAACCATCCGCTTTGTGGTAGTTTTTGCTTTTTTAGATATCAAAGAAATGGAAAAAAAGTGTTAGTAGACAGACAAACAACAGTGGGAAAATGGACTCTTTAACAGTGTCATTGTTGCACATTACATATTATGTTATGATCACAAACGAGTTGCACCAGCAACAATTAATACTGACAGGAAATAGTTTCACGGGGTTGTGAGAAAAAGGAGGCGGTGGTGCTCTTTGACACGACGAAAATCTTATGTCATTTCGACTTTTGTCCACAATAGTGAAAGAAATTATCACAACAGCAGTTTGTAGTGGGTATCCTTGGGTCGATTTCTCACTTCTTTTGTTAGCTTGAAATCCATTTTCCCACCCCCTATCAGCACATATCTAGTTCTTGAAAGAGTTCAAGATAATGTCTCCGAATAAGTATCCATTTTTGAATACAAAGTGGTGTAAAGTCTTACCACGCATCCAAACGACTGAAGTTTAAAAGTGTATTCGAATCCCGGCCTGGCATTGTAGCCCAATGTAACACAAACTTCTGACCCAAAGGAGAGCCGCGAGCCACCATGATAAACATACGTTTCCGTGGCTCTTTGGGTGCCCAACGGCCAGGTGCTGAAACACGGTCTGTTACGCTTACCTTTTAACCAGCGGTTGCCAACCTGGGAGATATCGCCATTTTGTGTGCGATTTAGTAATTTGGAGGGTGGTGGGTATCACTCGCGTTATGACTTGTTCTGAAATACAAGCAGGCGTACAGTTCTAAAATTCCAACCTCTTAAAAGTGGCAGAAGGTGGGCGCTGACTATTAAAATGTTGACCAGCACTGCTACTGTTCTGTCCATCACTTGAAAACGCACAAGGGGCTTGGTTTTTCAGTTTATCCCCCCCAATCCCAACGAGTCGAAGTGGGCTATTTCGGCCGTGTTAGTTAACATGCTGTATCAGTGTTTTGTGGAGCTTACAGAAGGTGACGTCATCAGATTAGTCCTCACCAGGTTAGCTCCGCCATGGCCCAACAGTTCTGCAGCGGGATCTGTGAGGTGTGCTCTAAGACTCTGTTATTATTCCGCCTGTTCAAGATCCTCTGTCTCGCTCTGGTCACATTCCTGTTCGGGGCGGGCGCCGTTTTGATCCTGTCTATTCTCTCAGCGCTGGACAGGCCCAGGTCAGGGTCAACAGTGACGGCCACTTCCGGTGACATCTGGCTGTGTTTGACGTCATAGAGTCTCGCGGCGCCGCTGTTGCTCCGTCTGACACGTCCTGGCTCATATGTCACGTGGTTTCCAGATCGTCGTGGACCGCTGGCTGACCGGAAATGTCCGGCTCCTTGCTGCGCTGCAAGCTGTCTCGCCGTATGTGGCGCTTGCAGCTGCAAGCCGTTGTTGTTGTGGGTGTGGCTTCCACTGACAAAGTGGGCGTGGCTGTGTTGATGGGTGTGTCGGCGGGGTTGAGACGAGGAGCGAGAGCGAGTGTGGGGGTTTCTCACTGGCTCCTCCCCGTTGACGATGATGATGGGCACATGATCGTCAGTGGATGCTTTGGAGGAAGGCCTGTCAATCGTTGACACGCTATTCGCATTAAGAACAGGCAAGCCTTGTACTAATCTGTCAATCTTCCTCCTCTGTTCATGGTAATGATTATACGTCAACTTCACAAACGGAAAAGACCCGCTAATGCTGTCCCTTTTGGTGTTGAGCAAAGAGTCAGCAGCCCCTAAGGCGTGTCCGTTGATTCTGTGAGCATTTTCCACTCTGTTGTTGCTGTGGGAAGTACCGTTCCTCCCGTTATAAATAGCGTCAACACCACCACCATTATGGTTTAGGATATTTTCCCGGTTCTCGATGTGCTCTCCGTTCTCACCCGCTGACACGACAGAGTTCCCGCATATACCGTCTTCTGCTACGTGGCCAATGACGGACCTGCATATGGTGCCATTTCTCAGATACTGCGCTACTTCTTCACACCAAGTTTCGATTCTTTTTCTCTTAAACGATGACATTGCCGACATGATCATCTCTGTAATGGCTCATCTGGAAATGTGTTGAGCAAAGCGAGGGTCCATGGCCGATAACTCCGATTGTCGAGGTTACTGGTGGAGGTCAGGAAAGAAGTGGCGGCAGATGAGCAAATAACAGAGGCGCATTTAGCCTTGGTCTGTCCTGTTTCACTGCTAAGACCTGTAGGAACAAAAATGATAAAACTTACAAAATATATATTGCGTAAACTGCATTTTAAAAAACTCGAATAATATTGTCTTTGTTTTCGTGTCCCATTAAAATTCCTTTTACAATTAAAACTGTTCTTTATTTGTTTTGAAACAATATTCTCATAATTTGTGTTTACCTCTAAAACGATCGAAAGTGCGTATTTTATTCCTATCTTGACATTATTCTGATCCTTTCAGAGGCTGGCCCCTTCAACACAAGCTGTGTGAGATACGACCTTCCTACACTTTTTTAAACTTTTTCAAAATATCTTCTTTATGGGGGGCCAAAGGGGTGGGGTGTGTCATGTGATCTTGTAAAGGGAATAATCCCAGGAAGGAATAAAACTGCTGAAGACGACGACGTAGTTTCTTGACCTATTGTAGAAGGGAAAAAATCACATAATACTTTCACTACTTTTCCTGCCTTCTTTCTCTCTTGTTTTATTTTCTCTTTGGCCTGTCCAGTGTGTGTGTCCGACTGTAATAGTTCCCATCAAATATGTTCAACTCCAGCCTTCTGTTACCTAAAAAAAGTGGATAGGTGGTTTAGCGTATAAAGTACTTGCATATTGTTATTTAACAAAGAGAGAGAGGAGCCAAAGAAAATAACAGGTTATCAGAATTGACCTGAACATTAATCCTTTTTTTTTTTCATTTTTAAAAATATATTTTGAACTGAAAAAAATACACATTGAAAACTGAGTTACTTCGTCTCCTTGTTTCTTAATTATACTCCATGACCCGAAATATTCATTCATTTATTCATTCATTCATTCATTCGTTCATTCATTCATTCATTTCCAAAGGGGAGATATTAACATGTTCTTATCCACAGTAGATTGTAAATGAGCTGATTTATCAATGTCAAGCTCATAATGTACCGGAACAATATAGGGGGAATTGCTACTTTTTCTTTCCTCAACTTTACTATCGTCATGTTTCCTCTACTTATTTTGTATGTTTGTCACTCTCTTGTGAACTACTATTTCCAGGGTGCCTTGATAGTCGAAGCAGACTTTATGTTGTTCAAGCTAGAGAGGTGAGTAGAGTAAGCTTGATTATTCATTTGGACTTCTCTATTGACATCCACCCCTTGACGCTCATATGACCTTATGCAGTTGCGAATGCGGTAAAACCTTACTAAAACTAAAGCTCATTCATTCATTCATTCATTCATTCATTCATTCATTCATTCATTCATTCATTCATTCATTCATTTCGTCCTGTACTTAAATTACGACCCGCGTGATGTAATCGTGGGCTTCTTTGACAAACAAAAGGAACACCACTTTTAAATTGGACATTGCCGCTCTTTGCGTGCAAGCCCTATTTATAACGTCAAACAGTTACATCCCAGACGATCGTGCTGAACTTTCTATGGCAAAACTACAACATACCGTCGTATCGAGTAGCACTGAGCAGGTTCATAAAACTGTTACTTTCAGGCAGATATTAGCTCTGCATCGAGAGTCAACTTGTCTTTACTCTACAGTCGTTACGTGACAGAATAGAGTGCTGAACATGGTTCGTCTGTTTTGTGCTCGGACAAGCAATGGTTCAAAGGGTTATAACTGTGTAAACAACTTGATAGTTTGGTGATTGCGAGGAAAGAGTAGAGTCACCTCCCCTGCTTTATGCTTCACCCACGTCGGGGGAAAAAGATATTTTCAGAGCAGTAATTTGCTGAAAGCAAAATCT